GTCTTCTGGCCCACTGTGTGGCGGGCCCACGGACACTGGGACGTCACCGAGGGCAACCGAGCGGATCATCGCCGCGGAGCCGCGGGGCCGCGGACTGGTCGGTGACGGGGGCCTTGTGCTCCGGAGACGCGGCGACGCGGCGGGGCGGACGGGCGCTAGTCGCGCTAGTCTTGGTGGGGCGCGGGGTTCTTCGGCGTGTCCGACCTTGGCTGGTTGCGCTGTGCCGCGCCTGGCTGGCTGGCTGGCTGCGTGCTGCCTCGCAGAAAGGCCCTCTTACACCGCGCCTTGGCCGTGCTCCGCGCTCTGCCTGGCTCTGCCCCGCCGGGCCGGGTTACCCCGTTAGTTGGGCCACACGCCGCGCAGCCGCGCAGCTCAGCGCCTTTGCAGCCTTTGCAGCGCTGCCCGGGTAACTGTACGGAGACGGAGAGGGCCTAGGCGCCCTGGCCCTCGGCCCGGCCCCGAGTGGTTGACTGACTGCCCTGAGCACTCCGGGACACTGCCCTGAGAGTGTCGTATCCGCGGCGGTCGTCGCTCTGTCTCTCTCGCACCATTGTGGCCTGCGGCACGATCCATGAGCGCAAGAGAGACAGAGAGACGATCGCGCGGTTCGGAATGGGCCTACGGCTCGGCCTACGGCTCAGCGTGTCCAGATCGGACTTGGCTGGCTCTCACGGCCAGTGCCTGTGCAGTGCCTGTGGGTCCGCAGGATCGGTCGCTCTGTCGCTGTCGCACTCTGGGGGCGCCCCGTTGGAGAGAGAGAGAGAGCGACGAAAGCACTGCCCGGCTGTGGGTCCTGTGGGAAGCGGGCGGGGCCGCGGGGCCGCGTGGCCGCCAAACTGGGGCAGGGTCGCTGCCGGTCGCTGCGTTTGAACCCGGGGCTGTTCTCTCCGTCTCGCTCGCACTCCGATGGGACGTGGGTCTTGTAGAAATCGAAAAGGGCCCTCTTCGCGGTCCGTGTATTTGTCCGAGGCACCCCGTAGAAACCCAAAAGGGCTCCGTGGAAGCAAAGCAGGCCCCGTACAAGGTGAGATGGTATTTCCTTTCCTGGCGAGAGATGTCGTTCCTGTCACGGCCACTCGATTCGTTTGGACCGTTTTTCGCTAAAACCTCTCGACCCGGAGCGCGTCAAGTGCGACCCGCCGAGCGGCTGGAGGGCAGGCAGTGCAGCGTCGTGGTGCAGCGCGGTGCAGCGGGGGCACTATCTGATTGTGGCGAGTCCGGCACGGCGTGCATGGCGGGGGCGATGGAGATGAAGTAGCAGTGTGTGATGATGGGCTGCACTGCCTGGCTGTGCCGCCAGACGGCTGGTGGCGGAGTGCGGGTCGAGTACACCCTGCTCGCTGCGCCGCTGCGCTGGGAGTCCAGTGCGTCCAGTGGCACTCCGTCACGGCGCCCGTTGGCGATACTCCGCGCGCCGCGCCGCGCCGGCCTGCCTCGCCAGCCTCGCCTGTCCATGGGGTTTGCGCGGGGTAGCGACGCGTGACCGGGGAAATGCTTGTCGGCTTTCTGAGCGAGAAAATGCGGGTCGAAGTGACCCGGCCGCTCGGCGCGCCGCGACTCGTGACTGGGGGAGGGGGAGCGGGGCCTGCACTCCGAGATGCACCGCACCGGGGTCCTTGCCCCTAGAGGCCCCGGCCGGCAGCGCCGAGGCAGCGCCGCCAAGCCGTCGCCGTGGTTGCGCCTCGCGCCCGCCGCGGGCCGCGCTCGCACCTTGCTAGTGGCGTAGCACGGCGTAGCACGGCGTAGCCAAGCCAGCCAGCCAGTGCCTTGACCCAGTGGCGTGCCACAGTGGGCCAGAAGACCAGTGGAGGCGGCCAAAACTCCGGACGCGTTTTGACCTCCAGAGTCGCTGAATGGGACTCGAACGGAACGTGTGACCCCACCAATGGATTCCTCGTTCGGAGAGCAATTCATCGGTGGGGTCACACGTTCGGTTCGAGTCCCATTTAGGGACTCTGGAGCTCAAAACGCGTCTAGAGTTTTGTCCGCCTCCACCGGTCTTCTGGCCCACTGTGCGTGCTGTCTCGGAGTTGAACGGCAAAGGCGACAGCCGCGACAGCCCAGGACGCAACAGCTCGGCGGCTACAGTTCGCATGGTGGGCTGCTGGGGCTGCTGGGCCATGGGTGTCAGTCCGGCGTCGGCCTGCGGCCCGGTCCTGCGGCCCGGCGCGGCCCTGCGGCTGGTTGGCGCTCCCTCCGCCAGGTTCGCTGCCGTCGGCGCCCTTCTGCCCATGCTTCTGCCTGCTTGTGCCGCCCCACCCACGCCTCTGCCCGCCACCCACAAGCTCCCCTTCTCCCTGCTGTCGCGCTGGCGGCATGGCAGGGCATGGCAGGGCAGGGCGCGCACCCCATCGGACTAGAGACCCTGCAGGGTGGCGCGGCATGGCGTGGCGCGGCGCGGCTGTGAGGCATGCGGCTGCAGCAGAGCGCCCCGCTCTACGGCAGTCCACGGCAGTCTTCGATTTTCCAAAGCTGACTGATGCTCGAAGAGGCTCCAAAGGATGACGCCTGCTTGCCGGCCGGCCGGCTTGGCGGACAGCCTCTGTTTCCACTTTCCCCGCTTTTCCGAGTGGCTCGCGCCGCTCGCGGTCCTCGAAGAGCGACTAATTGGCTGCCTTATCGGCGCCACTGTCGTCATTTGCACAATCGCTCTGTCTCTCTCGCACTCTCGGGGAGACTGAGAGGCTGTCGTTCGGAGAGCAATCCATTGATGGGGTCACACGCTCGGTTCGAGTCCCATTTAGCGACTCTGGAGTTCGGAACGCGTCTAGAGTTTTGGCCGCCTTCACCGGTCTCCTGGCCCACTGTGTGTCCTCCCCGTGCTCATCACGGGCCAGCCGGCTAGGCGGCCAGGCCGCGGGGACGTAGACACGCGCCGCGCTGCGCCGCGCCGCTCTGCGCCGCGCCGCTCTGCGCCGCCAAGGCCCAGCGACTCAACGACGCCCTCCCCCTCCCCCGCGGCGCGCCTCGCTTGGGTCCGCTGTTGCTGCTTTTGTTGTTGCTGTGCTTTTGCTCTGCGGCCGACGGCACGGGGCCGACGTCGGCCGACTGCTTGGCTGCTCACAAACTTTAGCGGCACCCCGACAGATCGCGCTCCGGGCGCGGCGTCGCGGCATCGCGCGGCGCGGGGCACTTATCGACGGGGGTGGTGGGGGCGTGCGCGTGTGAGTGTGTGAGTGCGTTGGCGCGAGCAGCATCTATCTTTACTGCAGTCGGTGTCCGTGCACCGCGGTTTTGGCCGATTTTCGTCCTGTCCGGCCTGCCCGGTTTGCCGGCAGTGCGGCGGTGCACAGTGGGCCAGGAGACCGGTGACGGCGGCCGAAACTCTAGACGCGTTTCGAGCTCCAGAGTCGCTAAATGGGACTCGAACCGAGCGTGTGACCCCACCAATGGATTGCTCTCCGAACGAGGAATCCATTGGTGGGGTCACACGTTCGGTTCGAGTCCCATTTCGCGACTCTGGAGCTCTAAACGCGTCTGGAGTTTTGACCGCCTCCACCGGTCTTCTAGCCCACTGTGCGGCGGCCCCTCTGGAGCCTTCCAGGCTTCCAGGCTTCCGCTTCCTGGCCAAGGCACTCCGACCACTCTAGGCCCTGAGCCACTTGCGGGCTGCGGGCCTAGATCTCCGAGAAACATGATGGGCTTAGAGGCCGCCGAGGCCGAGGCCCTGCCACGGGCCCAGTACGGCTCCGATCCAATAACGAGGAAGCGAGGCCGTGTTGACACTCCACTGGAAGGCCCGCTCGGCACCTCGCCGCTACGAGTGCGAGAGAGACAGGCCGCCGGTTGCGTCACGCCCCGGCCTGCGTCGGCCTGCGTCACTGCGCCGCGTGACGTCACGGTTGCCGCGTGCGGCGCGGATAGAGACCCTCCCGTCAGAGATGCGCAAGCCAGCGTTTGGTAGTCCCGTGGAGTCAAAGGCACCCTGAGTCAGGCTAGCGGGCGACCGCCGTATACCTGCTGTGCCGCACCAGATGCTGACCTGCGTAGCCTCGCGCGGGGCGAATTCGGGCTTCCCGCTCCGCATGGGACTACCAGTCGTCTGTGATTGGCTGAGAGGGCCCCCCTTTGCGCATCTCTGACGGGAGGGTCTCTAGGCGCGGAGCAGCGGAGCGCCTTGTTGTGCTGGCCGCGGCGATACCCCTCGCCGCCAGGCTCCACCGGCGCGCCGCGCGCGGAGTATCGCCGGCCGGCTGGCCGTGCCGCCGTCACCGCTGGTCCCTTTGTCTGACTCCCTGCTGCTGCTGTTACAGACTGAGGGCCCCGCCGACGTGGAGAAGATGCTCAAGGAGATGAAGGCGGGACTGATCGCGCCCCTCACCGCCATCGCCGCCACGCCGCGCAAGGAGAGCGTGGACCCCAAGTTCACTTTCGACGCCGCCCACGCCGCGGCGCCGCTGGCCGGGCCGCGCGCCAACCCCTATTCCACAGTGCCTCTTCAGAAGGTGAGTCGGCGTGGAGGTCACAGGTCACGCCCCCGTCCACGCCACTGGCCCTGCACTGGTGGAGGCGGCCAAAACTATAGACGCGTTTCGAGCTCCAGCGTCGCAAAATGGGACTCGAATCGAGCGTGTGACCCCACCAATGAATTGCGCTCCGAACGATAAATCCATTGGTGGGGTCACACGTTCGGTTCGAGGCCTGCTTAGCGACTCTGGAGCTGAAAACGCGTCTAAGGTTTGACCGCCTCCACCGGTCTTCTGGCCCACTGTGCCCTGTCCTCGCGGCCTTGGCTGGCCACGGCCACGCGGGGACCGACTCGGCCGAGTGCGGGGCCCTGCTGCCCTGCGCGGTGCGAGGCAGTGCGGCAGTGCGTCGGCCGGTTCGTTGAACCCCGCGTCACGCCGTCGCGGCGGGGCTGGCCGGCCGGCACGCCAAGCGTCGATACCCCTTGCGCCCGAGTCCCCGAGACTGTGTTTGGAACCGTCGTGCTAATGCCCAGTCTTGTTGCAGCTGCCGCCCCCGCAACCCGTGCAGTCGCTGCCGCCGCCGCAGCCGCTGCAGCCCGAGCCGGCCGCGGCCCTCAGCAAAACACGTGAGTGTTGGTTGGAAGTGGAAGTGTGGTTCGAACTCAGCGATTTTGGGAGAAAGCGCCGCTGCGCCGCAGCGCAGCGAGCTCCGTGCAGTGCACCGCCGCCGCCACGCGGAAAGGCCACGGAGTCGCCAAGTCGGACTCGAGCCTCTTGACGGAGAACGGGGAGGCGCGGCGCGGCCGGGTGGCCGGGCGGAAGGTCGATTCCGAACACTGCGCGCGGCGTCTCTCTCGCACCCCTGCAGAGACGGAGGGACGATGGCAGCGCTCGGCCGCCGGGTCAATGGGGGTTGTCCGTTCCCACGGCCGGCACCGCGTCGCACCGCGTCCCCAAATCAGATCCTCCCCTCCCCCTCCCCTCTACCGATGGCGAGTTTCCGCGCGGTGTGGGACTCTCTTGTTGCACATGGAAACCTGTTCCGTGCGGTGGCACGCCACGGGCACGCCGCCGCGGGGATTTGAATCGAATCGGTTCGTGGTTGAAAACCTCCATCTCGGCGCTCCTGCTCCTACGCGGCGCACAGTGGGCCAGAAGACCGGTGGAGGCGGACAAAACTCTAGACGCGTTTTGAGCTCCAGAGTCGCTAGATGGGACCGGTCTTCTGGCCCATTGTGCGGCCGGCGAAAGCCCGGCGGGTAGGCAGCTGGCACACTGGCGCGCGGGCGGGTTGCCTACTGCCTGTCGCTCAGGCTGAGGGCCTCGCGGCGCGTTCCGAGATGGTTCCGATGCGGCCCCCACCCCCACCCCGCCCCTCTCCCTCTCCAGGCCGGAGGCCCGAAGGCGCGGCGCTTTCCAGGTGGCCCGCGCCTTCCGGTGGCCGTGACGTCACCGCGCTCACCTGCGGGGCCTGCGGGGGCGGGGCGGGGCGGGGCGTACCCACCACACGCCGGATCTGTCTCGACAAAAGGAGGCGCATGGCACGGCGTCGAAGGCCTTCCGCCCAGCTTGCCCTCCAGCATGTCTGTCCGCCTGTCCGCTATCCGTCCGCTCGTCCAGCATCTACCCTCGGCCTCCCCCTCTTGCGTGGCGGGGCGGGGCGGGGCGGGGGGTGCGCTAAGGGGCCGGCAATGGCTTCTTTATTTTATCCGCTTCCTCGTCGCCTTCCTCGTCTCCCTCCCCTCTTTTAATTCACTTTCGCTTTCTTGCCGTGCCGGCCGGCCGGGGCGGGCCAGCTTTGGGACGGTCCCGCAGGCTGCAGTCCAGGTGGTGAATGTGGCGGCAGGTTTGGCTCGATCGGTGCGTCCGGCCGGCCGGGCCAGCCGCCGGTGAAGGGTGCCCTGGAATGTCCAGGAAGCTTCGAAATGATCCGGCGGCCCTGAAACGAACGCCGGGATCGCCCACCGACTGCAGGTCTGCTGCAGGTCTGCTTCAGGTCTCCGGGGGTCGACGACCTTTGAAATGGACCAGCGACTGAAAGCTCCGGGAGCTTGCTCTGGAATGTCTCTGGATTATCCAGCGACTCTCGTTGACGGAAAGCTCACGGCTGCAGCGACTCCAGGGGCCCTGGAAGCGTCCTGGCAGCGTCCTGGCAGCCCCGTGGCGGAATGCTGGCGATGCAAGACTAATGGTCAAGTCGACGGACGGACGGTCAGACAGACAGACAGACAGACGAGAAACGATTGTTGGGCGGTGCGCGGTCATGCTGGACCGCGGCGTCGTGGCCGATGGCTCGGCCGATGGCTCGAGACCTAACCGCTCCGCTCGAGTCGAGGAGACGGACGGACGCAAGAGGCGCCGCCCGCCGCCCTGCGCCTTGTTCATTACGATAGGCAACCCGCCCGGCCCGCAGCGGCAACACTGTCCGCCCCGCCGCGCCCCACCGCGCCCCACCACGCCCCGCGAACGGAACGTGGCTTGCAGCTTGCAACGCGGCTGCAGGACTGGCAGGACTCCGCCTCGCAGCTGGCCGCGCCGCCGCGCCGCAGCTGGCTGCAGGTGACTGCGGCGAGGCGCCCCACAGTGGGCCAGAAGACCGGTGGAGGCGGACAAAACTCTAGACGCGTTTTGAGCTCCAGAGTCGCTAAATGGGTCTCGAAGCGAACTTGTGACCCCACCAATGGATCCCTCGTTCGGAGAGCAATCCATTGGTGGGGTCACACGTTCGGTTCGAGTCCCATTTTGCGACTCTGGAGCTCAAAACGCGTCTTGAGTTTTGGCCGCTTCCACCGGCCTTCTGGCCCACTGTGCGCCCCGCCTGCAGCAGCCTCATTCCGAACAGCGCGTCGACGCTCTGTCTCCCTCGCACCCGTGCAGGAGCCCCTTGAGTGCGAGAGAGCACGTCAGCCTGCCGCAGTGGCTGCTTTGTTGCGACACTACCCTCTCGGCAGCGCTGCGGGGCTGCAAGGCGCCAGTCGTGGGCGTTTTACAGCGCGGGGATCGAATCGTCCTCACCCGTTGACGGCGTCCTGGCCGTGGCGGTCCGACCATTGATCCGACCCGTCCGTCTGTCTGGCCACGCTCGCCGCGCTCGCCGCGTTGTTCTCATCCTTGGCCGCGTCCTCCGCCGCCGGCCGCGGTTGCCAGCAGCGCCGGCCGGGCTGCTTCGCCTGCTTCGCTGGCTGCCAGCCCCGGCTGTCCGCTGCTCGCTCGCTCTGCGTCGGTTGGGTTCAGTTGTCGGCCGGCCAAGCCGAGCACAGGCCGCGGCACCGCGGCCACGCACTCGTTCGTCTCCTCGCCGGCCGCGGCGCGGCTAGACGCGGCGCGCCGTCGCGACGCCCGAACACGACAACGACGCCGTCACGCCGTCGTTCGGCTGGCTCTCTCCTCGCTCGGCGCGGCTAGGCCCGGCTGGCCACGGCCCGGCGGTACACTACCCGTATCGTCCGCCCACCTGCCGCGCACGCCGCGCACGCCGCGCACGCCGCGCACGAACGCCGGGCAGGTGCACGGGGGCGTGCGTGCACACGTGCGTGCACTCTGACCGGCACAGCGCGCAGCCAGGATGACGGGGGCGTCGGCGGACGCGTCGAACGACAGCCAAGTGGAGTGGCAACCCTAGTGGTGGGCGGCGCCCCAGGCACCGGGAAGTGGCACCCCTAGCAAGGGTCGCTCGGCCACTGGCAGCCCTTGGGACGAAGACGTCGGGGCGACCTCCGGAATCCACTCGGCGCCTGCAAACGGCAGTACGGCTCGGCTCAATCCCCAGTTTGTCGGCTGCAAGGCCTGCAAGGCCTGCAAGGCCTGCAGGGCCTGCACGGCTGGAATCGAGTTGGGCTGCGCGACGCTGCTTCGCGCTGCGCCACCCTCTCTTTGTGCCGAGCGAGCCGCTCACCCTCCCCGCCTTGCCCAACCCCCGGCCGCGCCGCGCCGCGCTGCAGTCCCCCTACCCACCGCGTGCGCGTCCCGGCGTCCTGACCGTCCTGACCGTCCTGACCCCGACAAGGAGCCGCCATGCTCCGCGCCTCGCTGCGCTTCCCAGGTAAGCGACATGTCGACGACGGCGTCCTGGCCGAAGGGCGACGGGGAAGTCCAGTGCGGAAGGCGTCGCACAGTGGGCCAGAAGACTGGTGGAGATGGCCAAAACTCCAGACGCGTTTTGAGCTCCAGAGTCACTAAATGGGGCTCGAACCGAACGTGTGACCCCACCAATGGATTGCTCCCCGAACGAGGAATTCATTGATGGGGTCACACGTTCGGTTCGAGTCCTGTTTAGCGACTCTGGAGCTCAAAACGCGTCTAGAGTTTTGGCCGCCTCCACCGGTCTTCTGGTCCACTGTGTGTCGGCGAGTCGTCCCTGGAGGACCGAGAAGGCCACCCAGGCCGCCAAGGGCGAGGTCGGCGAGGTCGCGGTGGTGACAGGATGCGGGTTGCCGCCGCGGCCAGGTCGATGTCGATGCCGATGGCGGTCCCGGAGTGCAATGATGCGATGACGTGTGGACGCCCCCACGGTGCTTCGTCGCTCTGTCTCGTCTCCCTCGCACCCCTGCGGGACGCCCCCCGAATAGGACCGAGGCAGCACTGTCGGCCCTGCTGGCTGGGCTGGGCGCTGCTGGGCCGACCAGCGGCGCGCTGCAAGTGTCGGAGTGTTTAGCGGACGCCCGCCAACCACCTGAACGCGTTTACTATGTAGTGCGTGCGACGTCCGCCATCCACTGACAAGTCTGTCTCTTTGTGTTGCAGAGCGCAGCTACGTCGCCCCCGTGCGCGTCGAGTCGTAAGTATCCGCAGTCCTGCGCGTGCTGCTGCAGTGCCGCATCCACGGGCCCGGTGTAGAGACCCTCTCTAGCCCGGTGGGGTGCTGATGCCCTTGTTGTTGTTTTGCAGGAATCTGGCGCACGACCTGATCCTCTCCGAGGACAGCGATGACGAGGCCGCCAAGGGAGACAGCGCGCCCTCGGGACAGCCGGACAGCCCAGCCATTGACCTGCCGCCCACCGTGGACCTACTGTGAGTTCGCGGGTTCGAATCCGGGCAGGGATTTTTCCTTTTCCTTGCAGCGGCCTTGACCTTGACCTTGCCCCTGTGACAGGCCTCCGATGAGCGTGGGCCCGCCGCCGCCCGCCCTGGAGCCCATGTCGCCGTGCGGCGTCAACAGCTCGTCGTCCGGGTCGGGGTCCGGCTCGGACTCGGGCTCGGACTCGGACTCGTCCAGCGAGGAGTCCAACGACGAGGCGGAGCGGCCCGTGGAGCCGCCCCCGCCCGCGTCGCCCGCCCCGGAGCCGCGCTGGAACCTGGAGTCGTTCCTGTCCCCGGGCAGGAGCGAGGCCAACGACGCCAACGGCGCCGACGCCAAGGTGAGTCCCTCAGCCCCACCCCGCGACGCGAGGGCCCGCGAGGAGGCTGCGCTTGTGGCGGAGCGGCGCGTGCCGGCCGGGCCGCCCTCGGCCGCCCCTTCCTGCCACTGTGTACAAACGTCAGAGCACACAGTCGGCGGGGCGCACGGCCGCCCGGCCCTAAAGACCTGCCCGCCCGCCCGGCACAGCGGCACTGCGAGGAAAGAGTGGAGGCCTAGGCGTCTGCGACCGCGACTAGAGCGCTAGGGCGTCCTGACAGTCCTGTGCACCTGCTTTACCTCGCTCTTTGTGTTGCCTGTTCGCCAGAAGCAGGGCGCCATGGCTGCCCCGGACGCCAAGAAGGCGCTGAGCCTTGAACCGCTGCCGCTGGGGTCGCTGGGGCCGCCCCACCGGCCGCTGGCGCCGCCGTCCACCTCGTCGGCCTCCGGGCGGGCGGGCGGCGCCGCGGGTCGGCGTCGCGGTGGTGCTGGCGTTGGCGTGGGCCTCGTGGAGTCGGACCACAGCGACCACGGCCTGGAGGTGCACGACGTGGTGCAGGAGGTGCTGGCCAACCCCCACCCCGCACTCCTGTCGCGCTTCTCCGACTCGGACGACTGCGTCAAGAAGCAGCCCGCGCCGCCCCCGGCTCCCGCCCCCAACCCCAACCCCAACCCCCAACTCCCCTTGTCCAAGTCCAGGCAGCGACGCCGCCCCCAGCAGGTGCGTCAGGTCCCTTGCGTCCCTTGGTCCGCCCACCGTGCGCCGGCTTGGCCGTTCACCCACTCACACGCTTCATGCTCATGCCAGAACGCTTTGAGGCCACGGCTAGGCAGAATTTGCCGCCTTTGGGTCTGCTTGCCGGTCAAAGCTTGTTTTGCTGTTTCATGCCCCTTCCTTGCATAAATTTGTAAATTACAAGACCTTTCTCTCATTTTAAGTGCAGTGCAAGTTGTCTAACCCCCGACTCTGTTTCCTTGTAGGAGAAGACCCCTGCCTTGGTGCCGGAGTCGGACAGTGAATCTGACACCGCCGGTCCTGCCAACCCCATGAGACCTCCAGCCCCGTCCAAGCTCTCCCCAGTGGAGGTGAAGGAGACTCGGGACACCTCGGAGGACGACCGGCCGTGCACGCACAACCGTGCCTACGACGCCAAGGCCGCCGACGATCGGACTAAGAGAAAAGTTGCTGTTGTAAGACCTGAAGTTCGGACAGACCCCTGGAAAGAATCTGATGAGAGAGTTAGGGCTAAGCAGTTGTCATCAGATGACGACATGCGACGCAAAAATCGTAGTCCTGTGAAAGTCAAGCCAAGTCTTCCTCGTGTTCCAAAGAACTACAAGCGTTCCGGTAGTTGCTCAGACAGTGCTTCGGATGTGGATATGGGTGGCAGGAGCAGTAGAGGTAGGAGAAGTGCGTTAGGTACCAGTGACAGTGACAGGAGCCGTATTCTTTCCCCCAAAAAGTGGAGTCATGGACTCAAGCCGCTCATGTCAGGAGTGAGTGATAGTGAAGAGGAAGGGAATGCGGGCCAAAAAGCCAAGGTGGTAGTGCGTCGAAGGAAGAGCAACTCGAAGCGGCCTACCCAAGCCAGTGACTCTGAAGACGAGGCCCGTCCCGAGGTCAAGAGGCACACGCCCAAACCCAAACTTCGGGCGTCACCAATCAGAAGCGCCTCGGAAGAGGAGCCTCGGAAGGTCAGTATCGATTGACTTGCACCCTTTTCTATTTTAATTATCTTATTTCTCTACTAACAGCCTCTAAATTTATTTTTTTTCATAGGGAGGTGCACGAAGGAGTCTTGTACCTGCAAGATCTCAAGCCCATTCGAGTCTTTCTGAAGACGATGAGTGCTACGATGGGTCTGTCAAGTGGCGTGGCAAGCACAACAAGGAGTCCAAGCCCAGAGGCAGGCCGGCCGCCTATCCGAAGCACCAAATGGATGACGAGCGACCCGCCTCTGTCACGCGCAGATCCAGCGGCCGGCAGAAAGTGGAACTAGCTGCCGCGTCCAGAGATTCTGACAGCGAAGAGATTGACGTGGTGAATTCCAAGTCACCTATCAAGGCCATTGGCCAATCTAAGTTGGCGAGGAGAAGAGCTTCCAGTGGCGACTTCAGCTCGGATATGGAGCATGTGCAGTCCCCTGTCAGGCCCATGTCGGACAGTGATAGTGATGCCCCACCTCCAAAGCCCAAAATGGAGGTGAGCCCGCCCAAGCTTGATGAGGAGGGTAACGTTGTCCAGGACAAAAAGAAAAATGACACGTTACGTAAACTGTTTTTAACGAAACGAGAACCTCAAGAAAGTGGTGGCAAGGGTGGCAAGGGTGGTAAAGGAGGCAAGGGCGGAAAAGGAAAGGGAGGCAAAGGGAAGGGTGGCAAGGGTAAACCCGGTGTACTAGTGGTCGAGTCAGAACGACTAGAGCCTGCTTCCCCTCCCACCCCTCCCCCTGCTGAAATTCCCAAGCCTGAGCCTCAACTCACAGATAGTGAGAAAAAGAAAAGAAAACGGCATGGAAAGCACAGTGAAAGTATAACACCAGAAAAAGCACCCATTCCCATCAAGGAGGAAGCCCCAGAGGAAGAGCTCGTTGCCTCTATCAAGAGGGAGTCTTCTCATCAGGCACCAAACCTCTCTCACCCCGGCCCAATCATGTGCCGAATCCCTTTAAGTCGGTTACCCTACATCCCCCCACCTCCTCCCAAATCTCACCGGTCAAGAGAAGTATGTATTCAAGTGCACTGGGATTTTTGTTTGGTTTTAAGGATGAATTCAACCTCTAATGACCAAATGTTGTTTTTTTTGTTTTTTTTGTATTTGCAGGGTCGACCACACTTAGAGTATTCTGAATCAAGAACTGCTGCAGATGATAGTAATCATAGAACTCATCATAGTAGTAGAAAGCGAAGAAGACAAGCTAGTGATGCTGAAGATGGAGACAGTCCTGAACTGGAGCAGCCCATACCAGAGGATGCTCAAATCAGGTAATTATTGCAATACAAAATTTTTTATTTACTTACATCAGCTATGGCAATTATTACAATAATTCTGATTTATCTTGTAGTGATATTGGAGCGGGTCGCACATCGCAGCTGGGTCATAAAAGGGAGCGGCGGCTTTCTACTAGTTCCATCTCTTCTCAATCTACTACTGCAAGCAGAGAACGGACCAAGCACAAAGATCGTCATCGAGAAAGGCATCATAAACGTCAAAAGTTAGGAGAGGATCTTGTGTTGCGATCAGCTTATCAGGTAATTATCAATACTCACATGCAAGGCAGTCATTCTTACAAATGTTTATTCTCCTTAATTTTATTAATGTCATTATGTCTTCTTCTTTTAGGGTGGAGATAGTCTTTTAGCTCAACCTCCTACCAACCATGAGCGGGAAGAGCAGGTGGCAGGTCCTAGCAATCATAGAAGTTCTGAAGGAAACTCCTATTACTCTTACTTTGAAGAAAAACTTAGGGATAGTCGTCAAGAACAATTGCACAAGTGAGTACTGAAGAAGGCTTGGCAAGAAATGTCATGTGATTTTAAACATTAAAAATATCTATTAATGACTTTTTTTTTTAAATTTAGGGAATCCAATGAGAATTTTTATCTCAGTGAAGCTGTCCGAATGAAGAGGCAAGCTGACAGCGAAAGAGACCCAACAGCTCAGGCTGTTTTATACCTAGAGGCCATCATGTTCTTCATCCTGACAGGGGTGACAATGATGACTCATACCACATTAGCAGCTTCCAAAATGTTCACTGATACATTATCTGTTCTAGAGTAAGCACATTCCTCTGACACTCGGCCTATACACTTTTAAATGAAAATAACAGACTTTTCTAGAGATTAAATATTTTTACTCCTAATTCCAGATTTGTAACTACAAGGTTCAAGTCACAAAACCGGAATGTAGAACTTTCTATGATTCAAAATTGCTTGTCTGTTTTGAGGTAAGTGTCATCTTTAACAACGCAATGTTAAGTTCTGTTATGTATTATCTCAATGAATCTAATTTTCTTATCTTCTGTTTTTCTCTAGCCTACGATCACAATCCCTGTTGCATTTAAAACTGTATGACATAAACCAAAGTGAGGTAGCTGAGTTCGAAAAGACTGTTGCTAATTTTCTTAATCCTGCCAAGGTAGGTTTTTCTTTCATCTACTTGGTGTAATGTTTTTGTCATGATACGCTTGTTTCAAATTGTTGTTACTTTGCACAGACTCCCGCTGTGCCTGTGGTGCTGGCACCGACCGAAGGTCAGGCACAAGGGCAAGGCACTCCCTCGTCGCTGTCGCCAACGCCTTCTCCTTCAGGGTCCGTGGGCTCTGTGGGGTCCAACTCCTCCCAGTCGTCTGGGTACAGCAGTGGGAACGGCAATGCCTCCGCCAATGCCGGCAGCAATGGTCAGAGCAGCAGCAGCGCAGGGCCTTCAACAGCTGCCAACCCGCCTTGCATCCCAGTCCCAATCAACATCTTCTCCATGGTCTCCAAGCAACACAAAATTTGGACCAATCTTAAGAGTTCTCATGATCTGTGGGAGAGAGCTGACAAGCTTATTTATAGGGGTAATCACACAGGTAAATATCTTTCATATAGCTCGTGTTAGTATTACCTTGACCTGTTCTTTTCTGAAACTTCGTTTTTGCTTTGCAGACTTTTTCATCTCGTTGGATCATACATGTGGACCCCTAACTCTGCACAGCTCAATGACAGCGTTAGTGCGCTATGTTCGAGAAGGACTAGTGAGATTAAGAAGTATTATAAACAGACATAATCCACAAATAATTAGTGATACTTAAAACTCCAAACGGACTGGACCAATTTTAGGATTGCCTGTGATTTAAGTTGTTCCAACCTGCAATGATGTAATCAGAATAAGAAGACTGTTGGTTCAATAGTTGACAAGTTTTTCAAGATCATTTATGTTAAGGAGCTTCTCGAGTACTGTAAGGGGCATGAGATGTGTGGTGTCTCATTGGATATGGCAATTCCAATTTTTAATGGATGTTGTTTTTCTTCAGAAATTTGACAAATGCACATTATGCTCCCTCAAAACGCTGCATTTTTCCTTTCTGTATGTACTTAGCTGTGTTCCAATGCAGTGTACGTCTATTTTCTCAGAAATCCATTCCATTCTGGAAGGATATGTCCCTAAGTTCCAGATTTATTATGTTATTTATTTTACCTATTGTGATTATTGTAAAAGTAATGGAGCATAATGTTCTTTTCTTTTCATTTTGAAACTTATTTAAATAAAAATTTTCTATTTTACTTTTTTGTAATTGGCTTGAATTGTTATATTTGGAGTCACTTGGTTTTGCATGAAGCATTGTATGCTTGAGCTTAAGTATAGTTCTTTTCTTTTTATCTTTGATAGCATTTCAAAGCTTGCTGGGGTAAATTGAGCAATGTTTGGACCAAAAGTCGATTGTCACATTATTAAATACCAAGAGAATCTCTTTCCTCTAAAATACTGTTAGGTGAATTTTTTATGAGTAGCCACATATTGTTTCGTGCAGGCAGCCAGTATTTGAAATTTGAGCATTAGACAAATTTGGTATTTAGCTCTTCTTCGACTAGTAGAGAAATAGTTGGGTCTCACAACGAAACATTAGGAAAGAGCATTGATGGCTGTGGTGAATAGATGGGAAAGGCTCAGTAGATATGATTGCTCACGGTGCCAGCTACTTGCAGTCACAATTTTTTGCCTGTGCTGCAAAACCTTTTTATAGTAATTTGTTGTAATTGCTGTTGTCAAGTGCAATTGAGGTGTAGATGCTATAATTAAGTAAACAATGATTTTAGTTTGCTCAACATGAAGAGACTTACAAGTAAGTCTTGACAAGTTACAACAAGCATCAAAGAGTTTTACTATGCTTTTATGCCTTATACTGCTGCAAGGATTGCATCGTGAGTTGCCAATCTATGGCAGACTGATATTTATTTGTAGTTTGAAGATATAACTAAAAATTTTGATGGGACTTGCATACAAACAGTTCTTAATGATATTTTATCAGGAAGCATTGACATTGCCTACCTATGAGTTAAATAAATTTAGAGCATAATGTTCAGAGGTTAGATATTTTTAATGATGTCAATTTTTTTCCGCTTACCAATGTATATCACTATTAATATTATTATTATTAAGATCATTCTTTCAAGAGTGTGGATAGTCAGTTTGACATTAAAGTTATATAATAGTGTCCTTACTACTGTAAAAAAATTGCTGTACATAAAATGTATGGGAAACAGGATACTACATATTATTGGGTTGTATATTTTTGTACATAAACAGACTGTTAAGAAAGCTACCTTCCAGTAAGGTCTTACCATTGTATAGAGAATAAATTGCATTGCACCGTTTGTTATGATACTGGACTATTTACCCTAATATCTGGTTAAGCTGTATCAGCAAAGAGATTTTTGTTAAAAGAAAATTTCCATCGCAGTGAAATTTGTTTAAAGTTACCATATTGCAGTGGCCATTCCTGAAAGATTCAGGATCATCTTTAGATGCCTTGTTGGTGTTAATTCTTTTTTCCAGCTTCCTGACGTATTGAAAGGCTGTGATAGGGTGAACTCTCATGGGGAAGTAATATTACGTATGTTAATTACATCACTTGCCACTTCATTTTTGCTCAGCCTTCATTTACTTGCTTTGCATGTGCAAAGCAGGTCCTTCTTTATTTCTCTTATTAATTTTCTAAGTTATTGTTAGGTCCAAAATTTTGTTATACGTATTATTTTGTCTTTCTCAGTACAATGCAAGCAGTGGATAAATATTCCATTAAAAAAATTTGCAGCTTCTGCATTTTTTCTATTGTATTTTCTGTTTCTTCTTATGATTTTGTAATATTATGCCATGATGGTCATTTCAGAAGTTGTTGAGGTAGTTCAATGAAGCAGTCTAAATTTGTACGTAAGGATCATCCTTTGCAGATTGCTGTTTGAGTTTGATATTAGCAAAATATTTTTTGTACTTGTGTATGTCTGAGAAGCCATCATGTTCAATTAGTTACCGAAAGAGAACATCACTCATATTTATTATCTGTTTGTTATTCAATTGTCTTCTGGCATTTGCTGTGCTCTTTTCTTTGCTGCATATTCTCTTTGTGTGAACCATCTCTCAAATTTCTATTGTTTTCTGGAAAAAAAGAAATTGTGTTTTGTTTTGGTTGTGCACAAACCCATCGTCCAGTAGTGATATATTTCTGTTATCATCTGTGTACAATTTCAAACCCTCCATTTTATACATTCAAATCTGCCAAATCTGTGGGTTAACATGAGACAACTGCCAGTTAATTTAGGAAGTTGTTTTCTGCATCGAGAGACTTGTATAACTGTTAAAACAAATGCCTAATTGCCAATTGTGTCTTTTATTACCATTGTCATTGTTTTAGGCTTTTGTCTTAACACTAGGTCCAAAATTCGTGCACAAACTTACAGTGTTTCTGAATCTTAAAATGCATAACGAAATCCATGTCTCCAAATTAAGCAACAGTTTCCTGAAATGTATTACAATGTTGTCAGGGTTTGTGAGTGCAACTAAAACAATGGTCACAGAGTAAATCAATATTTTTTACTTTTCTAGAGTTGTAGTCTAAGAGAGATCTCATATCAATTTGTATACGAAATTGACAACTGAATGCTCTTCATTGAGTATGCTAGCTTGGAAGCAAATTAAGTGTCAAATGAGGCCAAAGGTTGTGTTGTTCTCTCCATTGTCCCCTTCCCTCTCCTTGTGAGTCATTCATTGCATCTGAAAGCAGTCTTTGCTCACTCTTCCAAAGGATGAATAATTATTGCATGCAGTTTTCATGTATAATGTACTAATGGTGCAACAATGTGATTTTACTGCATATTTATTTGTTAAAGTTTTATTTATTGACTTTTGTTTAGTTTGTCTTTTTCTTCTTTTTTAATTTTGTTTCATTTATGCTTTATTTTCTTATTATACCATGTAGGTACTGATCAGACTTCATGGTGTCACAAAATAAGGCCTCCTTTACTTGATGACGTCTTTGTTTCATAAATGCTTTCTTTTCGATTGAATGATGCCTGTGAAAGAAAAAAATGTCCTCATCAATATTTGGACACATACCTATACTTTAAATGTGATTTTGATTGTGCCTGTTCTAGTACATCAGTACTTCCTTTTTTTTATGTGATTTGCATTGACTTTCTGAAAGTCAAGTGAATCAGGTAGTTATGGATCACCTTGTTTTTCTTTACTTTGTTTCTTTTTTATTTTGTTCCTTTGCTTGGTCTTAAGAGAGTTGCAATGTGTTCAGGGGAAAAGTACTGTAATTTACAGAAAAGTCTGCTTTTCAGGGTAAGGGAACGTTTGATTGCAGTAAGTCTTTGATGTGCATTTGACTACTTGTAGTAACATCTCTGCAACGAACTGTCTCTGTTTTATCAGATGTTTTCTGAACTGAGTGATACAGTAACTATGGTAACCATGTATTATGATATTGATTGTAGTTCTGTTACAAATTGTTCAAGGAACTTTGTGCTTGTTGGCTGAGAGTAAGACTCCTCCTGTACATATAAATGAGTCTTTTGTTACGGATGCCCTCTGTATTTAAATGATCCAGCAGCTTTCCTCTTTGGCTCCAATTTAGAAAATATTTAAAGTGATTTGTTTCTACAGGCAGCATTGTGCGAAGACCTGTGATTACATTTTACATTCTTATGTGCTGCTCGACTGTAACTTTTTAGAAATGGCACAAAACGAGACACACATACTAGGTAGAAGTGTGCGGCAATGGCATCAGATTCAAATGCCTTTCCCCGCTTAAATATGATGCATTTGACTTATTTTGAACTAAGATTGAGGAGGGCACAAGAAACCAACATACCCACTTTGAAGGTGTCTAGTATTTATATGTAAATACATACATATTTATATTTGTATATATATAAATATATAATATGAATATTTGAAATTTGAAATACTGATTTTATTCTACCTGATCCTGAGATCTTCCCACCTTTCCATCACATTTTACCACAAGGTCAGCAGTTGTAGCCAAGTACGGCCACAACTCCAGCCCAGGTTCGACTTCGACTCTGGCGGGCTGCCTTATCGAAAACACACACCGCGTGCGGCGTGCGGCGTGTCGGTGCGATACTGTATCAGTGGGCATGCGAGTCGTTTCGTCGCTCTATCTCTGTCGCACTCGTGGAGCACCCCACGGGGGTGCGAGAGAGACGGAGCAGTGAAAAGACACTCTCTCGCGTGCTTCGCGTGCCGGTGGAGTGGGCTGGAGGAGGTGCAGGGTGACAGGGAAGGGTTAGCCACCCCAGATCGCCCGTGGGAGTTTCCCGCTAGAAAAACAACGGCAGTTCCAAAGCATTGCCATTGAAAAATAGCGCCGTACTTCAGCGACCGTATCCATTTTCACCAATCTTGATGAATGTGGTGGAGGGGGTTCTTCGCAGCTTCGCAGGTGGGGATCTCTTCTCTTCCCCCACGCTGTTCAAAGGTCTTGGTTCTTTTTTGCCAAGTTGGCAACGTGCAGAAACGCGGCAACGCCGCCGCGAATTGTGTAATCCGTGCTCGCTCTACGCCGCGACGCTGCTCTGGCCGCCTCACCAGAGAGACCCTCGAGGCCTTCGAGGCAGCCGTTGATCCGGATCGGGACTCATTCCTGGTATAGGGTGAAAAAAATTCCTCCACCATGCGTTCCGACCCAAAAGTTGCTGCTCGATGCGACCATAAAATCGATGGGTTTGACAACGGGTCGCTATGCATTCCCTTCCCATCATCCGTACTTAGATATGGGTCCACTATCGTGGCAACCTGGCAAAGGAAAATTCAAATGTATTTTTTGCCGTGCAAGTGCTCTGTGCTCGCGATGACTTGACGGATGCTCCCGGGGCGTTACCGGGGTCGACGACTCTTGCTGTCACCACCGCCTTTCCTCTGGGTCCGCCTGCCCTGAGCCTGCAGCTGCGCGCTGGGCACAAGGGGGAGGCTCTTTGGTCCGTGCAAAATTTGGCGAACCGAGGCAGGACACCCCCCCCCCCCTCTCCACTACACAGCAAGACGCCCGATCCAGTTTCCATGCCGTCCCGAACGACTAACACTGACAGACAGGCGGGCTTTGGGAATAGAACGTCCGTTTCGCTAAGCAGCAGACTGACGGCTTTTGTGATTTTGTGGGCCGCACTTCAACCGTCCTTTATTCCTTTGGTTTCCTTTACCTGGCCGTGAGCCTCATTAGACCCCACACGCGATTTATGGCCCCCACCTGCGTGGCGCGGCCCGTATGGCCCATAGGGCGACAGAGACAGACTGCCGTGCGCGTTTGTTCACGGTGCCGTTTACCTGAGCCGCGCTGTGCTTCCACGGAAACAGGGAAACAGGCCTACCGCGAGGCGGCGAAAACTTTCCGGCGTCCCCTCACTGCACGTACGCGTAATGCACTCTCACTATCTATCTTTCGGTGGTTCCCCTCTGCACTGGAAAACCAAACGTGGTCTAGACCACACCAACTGATGCGGTCAAAATGGCACCTATTTGACCACACCAGTTGGTGTGGTCTAGACCACGTTTGGTTTTTCAGTGTGGTGACCGCTGCAACAGGCTGCAACTGCTTCACACGGAGTCCCAAAGTCCCGCCTGCTGCAAGCGCGAGCGATTTGGTCTGGTCACATAAAGAAGATCCCCTCTGAAAAGTGCACCCTTCTGCTTGGTTTGCTGTCTCTCTCGAACCTTCAGGGGACGCACAGTGGGCCAGAAGACCGGTGGCGGCGGCCAAAACTCTAAACGCGTTTTGAGCTCCAGAGTCGCTGAATGGGACTCGAACCGAACGTGTGACCCCACCAATGGATTCCTCGTTCGGAGAGCAATCCGTTGGTGGGGTCACACGTTCGTTTCGAGTCCCATTTAGCGACTCTGGAGCTCAAAACGCGTTTAGAGTTTTGGCCGCCTCCACCGGTCTTCTGGCCCACTGTATGGATACATGAGGCCCATCAGTGCGAGAGAGAGACAACGCGACGGAAACGCTTCTCGGAACGTCGGAACCCGTCCGCAGGATGGCAGGATGTGTGGGGGAGGCGGCCGGCCCCCACATGCCCCACAAGAGAGCGCGGCGGCGCGGCGCACGCGGTGGCTGGGGCCTCGCCGGGGCCTAAAGGGCGTAAAGGGCACCAGCCTCAGGTGGAAAGCGGAAGGACACCAAGGACGCACACTCAACCGGACCATAGACGTCCTGTACAAGGCACGGACTGGCTGTGGCTTTGGGACTGAGGCAAGTAAAGCAGTCTTCTCGGGCGTGCTTCTTGCAGTGTACCGAGCCTCGGAGGGATTTAGGGTGGGGGAGGGGAGGAGAGGGACGCTCCGCGGAAGGTGGAGGCGGGGAGGCGGGACTGCGCCGTCGCCCAGCAACCACGCAACGCAGCAGGCAGACAGCCATGCCTTGCCGCCAGGCAGCCACCCCAGACCACAGCCAGCCAGCAGCCAGTTGGCGTCGGCGCGGCGCAGGCGCGCAGCGCACCTCGCCCTCGCGTTCGGTCGTTCGGTCAGTCAGTCGTCAGTCGCAGCCAGAGCCAGCCAGCCGCAGCTCGCCGCCAGACAGTCGGGCCGACCAGAAGCCAGGCGCATGCATTTCCGAGACATGCCTGTTGGCTTCGTTCCCGACATGCATCAGTCCACGCTGCTCGATGCACGTCGGATTCGCTGCGACCCGCCGTGATCCGCGAAGCACGCTAGCGTTGGCGCCATGCGGCTGAAACGGCTTGGCTTGGAAACGTGGCCCAGCCGGGTCTGCCGGGCCCAGCTGGCTCAGCTCGAAGCGGCTCCACCTGCCACCTGGTGAGTACGTACCTTTAGTGCCCCCGCTCCGATAACATCCACGCGACCCCTGTAGGTTAGGTGCCGACCGCCGAACGAGGTCGCGCGACCGGTCGCATCGCGTCGGCGGGCTGGTTCTGATTTTACGTGCACCGGGTGACTCGGTTCTATTTGTGTACCCCGTCCAGCCTTCCCGTCATCGCGAGGCGACGTGAGGGCGCACTTCCTGCGTGGGTTCAGGCGACCGCGCCCTGGGGCATACCGCGAACGCTGAAAATGGCATTCCCTCCCGGCCGGGCAGACAAGGCCTGTCCACGCATGCGCGAAGCACTGCGAAGCCGTTGCTAAAAAGGGGCAGCGCGCCTACCCTGGGAACAAAAGATGAACCCGGCCTCAATCCTTTTCAGAACTCATTAACATAAAGGTGTCTTGCACGGATGCCTCAACCCCCCTCGCGGGCCTCTCCCCTTCGGGCGAGCTTCCCCTCGCCGGCCCTGAATAGCTAACTTTTTACGAGCCAGCCTGCTTTGTATCTTCTCCTTGAAATTAGTTTTTGTGAGTGCGTCGAGCGGCGTAATCCGGTCGCGGCACTGTTCGGGGAAACGGCGGGAATTTTGTTTCCGTCCCGGGCAGCTCTCCCGAAATTCCCCGCCGTTTTGCGCGCTTGATTCCGACTGGGCGGCCTTGGAACTTTCCAATGTCAACGAGGTCGAGGCAGCGTGGCTCGGTGCTGGAAGTGTTGCCTAGCTGCCGGCGCGCCCGGCCCGTCCGGCCCGCAGTGGGCCGGTGGAGGCGGCCAAAACTCTAGACGCGTTTTGAGCTCCAGAGGCGCTGAACAGGACTCGAACCAAACGTGTGACCCCACCAATGGATTCCTCGTTCCGAGAGCAATCCATTGATAGGGTCACACGTTCGGTTCGAGTCCTGTTCAGCGACTCTGGAGCTCAAAACGCGTCTAGAGTTTTGGCCGCCTCCACCGGTCTTCTGGCCCCCTGCAGCTTGCTGACGTGTTCTTGTTTGTGTTCCAGGTGGTGCCCGGCCGGAGCGACTGACGGCTTCTCTCCTGGACTGCGTCTCGAGTCATTCGTCGCGGCAGCGACGCGGGGCGGCGAGTCGGCCGAGCACTGAGCGTTCCACGTGACCAAGTTGGAACCCTTTTTGCCCGTCCTACTCGCCCTCCGCGCGCCTCCGCGGGCGGTCGTTTGGTTGTCAGTGCTGCCGCACACACAAGCGAGTGTCGGGAGGGTTGCCAACCTCAGCCTACCAGGCAACTTGTTGGGCCTTGTAGGCAGGCTGAGGTTGGCAACCCTTTCGACACCGGCGCGCAGTTTTCGGCTGCTTGTGTGGCAGCACTGGTCCTTGGTTCGGGCGGGAACGCGGGGCGGCGAGTCGGCCGAGCACAGAGCGTTTCGCTGTGGAACCCTTTTTGCCCGTCCTACCCGCCCCCACGCGGGCCCCGGACTGTCGTTCGCAGAGTTTGGGTTGTATTTATCCGCAAGAGAGACTGAAGAAGAGCTTAGGACTTGAATCCGCCTGGGCCTTTTCGGCAATCTCACCGAGGCGTTCCTTCTCGCCCATGAATCCGCCTGGGCCTTTTCGGCAATCTCACCGAGGCGTTCCTTCTCGCCCATGAGACTGTACTAGCGTAAAGGCACGGAGTGACACGGCACAGACTGTCTCTGTCTTTCTGGGAAGCAGAACAGTCAACCTCCTTGATTGGCTGTTGCTCTCTGCAGTGGCCACTGCTCTGGTCTTGAGGCAGCACCAGCTGGTGGGTTGCTTATCGGCCCACGCCAGGGTCCCGTCACGGGTGCGACAAAGAGAACGTTGTCTCCATCTCTCTGTTGCACTCGTTGGGACGAGGTCTTGTGGCTGGCGGTGTTACGTGGGTAAAAATACCCACAACGAGGTACGAGGAAATAGGGGGTAGAAAGACCAGGGTGGACCACGTGGCTGGTCGTTCGAGTCAGGGCGGTACGGTGGCTGATCAAGTCACCTTGCGTGCTCTGGCTGAAGACAGTCGTTTTCGTCGCTCTCTCTCGCACTCATTAGGCATCCCGTGAAGATGCGAGAGAGGCAGAGTGACTACTCTCGGAGTCAGTCTACTGGGCGGGCCTTTTCGACTGCTCTGCAGGGTGCACGCGTGTGGGCGTTGACCTCACTGATAAGACTTGTCGTTGCGCTTTGAGAAGAGCGTTCTGGTCCTCTTCCCGATGCACGACTCTTCGAGAGAGAAGGTCGCTACGCTGCAGGAAGAGCGTATGGGACCTACACTCTTTTTCCAGGCAGTTAGAACTGCGTGGGCTTAGCGCCCTCCATCTTGATTCTGGTTCCCTCCCTGAGCAGCTCCGCAAGGATCTTCTCGAAGGGAAGAAACTTGTTCCCTTCCTGGCACGTCCTCCAGCAACTGGCAGTAGGGGACGTGCTCCGGCTTAACTCCTTGAAGGAGGAGCGCGGCCAGGAGGTCTTGGTCTTCAATGGGACGTCTGGTCTCGTTAATCCGTTGTACTGCGGCCTGGAACTCGAGGACATACTCCTTAGCGTACGCATCTGCATGCGGAGTGTGTCGGCTTGCAGAGCTAGCACCTTGGCTCGGTCACACGTTAGGTCAGGGGTTGACACAAGTTTGCTACGTGTGTCATAGTGACGCAGAAGTTGTGTCAATTTCGCTCTGACGCGCGTAATCCACACGAAGGGAGACCTCGGAAACGAAATGAGCTGGTGCGCTCGATATATGACTGGGTTTCGCTTGATCCAGACGTGTCTTGCCTGCACCAGCTAGTAGGGTATTTCGGGAAGAAATCAAGAAGACCGAAGGGCTCGAGATTGAGCTCCTGCGTTGAATTTCTGCCATTCTCGAGGAGCAACTTTCTCATACTAGGTGTTTCCTTTGGTCGTCTTGATTTCTTCTGTCTCCGAGTGAAACCACTGTGTTGGACAACAGGGGCAAGGCAGTTTGGCGCCAGGAGGCTTTGTGCGCACGGCTGGGGAGGGCTGGACGATGATAGCAAGTGCCAGTGGTGTGTGATTTATGAATACTGCCATAAAACATTTACCCAGAAACCTGCCGCCGCTCTTTTGTGACAATTTCCACATTTCGATCGTACCGAGGATTTCGAAGCAGAAACCCGTACGCGCTGTTGGCGCTTTGCTTCAGTGCCTGTACCTAATGGCAGTTTCGTCTTCTTCGGGCAGCCCCCGCGAGCCGGGACGCCAGTGTACTCAGTCGTGGTTGCTTTTTCTAGGGCTTTTTTGAAGTCCAGTTAGTGGTCACCATGTCTGGCCACCTTACCGAACGGCGTTCGGGCCGGCCCAGAGGCTTTTTGACACAGCGGGACGAACAGTCTCGTGTGGTAGCAGAAAGCTGATGTACTCTTGAGTTGAGATGACTCCGACTTGCGTTTCCGTGCTACGGTCTCTTTTTCTATAAAGAAACCAAGACACGGGATCAACAAGTTCGTGAGTCCCTCAAACGTTTCTGTGTTTGGCACGAAAGGTGGCAAGTGAATATTAGTACAGCTAGGCGAAAAGTCTTGCGTTCAGCACAAATGGAGGCAGGTGTATATTAGTGCACTTGTGCAGGAAGGTGTAAAGTCTCTTGTGTTCAAGACAAAAGGTGGCAGGTGTATAGATGTGCAGTGATTCACAAAGTTGCAAACGTTTTTGTGTTTAGCACGGAAGGTGGCAAGTGAATGTTTGTACAGCTAGGCGAAAAGTCTTGTATTCAGCACAAATGGAGGCAGGTGTATAGATGGGCAGTGATTCACAAAGTTGCAAACGTTTTTGTGTTTAGCACGGAAGGTGGCAAGTGAATGTTTGTACAGCTAGGCGAAAAGTCTTGTATTCAGCACAAATGGAGGCAGGTGTATAGATGGGCAGTGATTCACAAAGTTGCAAACGTTTTTGTGTTTAGCACGGAAGGTGGCAAGTGAATGTTTGTACTGCTAGGCGAAAAGTCTTGTGTTCAGCACAAATGGAGGCAGGTGTATATTAGTGCACTTGTGCAGGAAGGTGTAAAGTCTCCTATGTTCAAGACGAAAGGTGGCAGGTGTATTGATGTGCAGTGATTCACAAAGCTGCAAACGTTTTTGTGTTAAGAGCGGAGGAAAGGGAAGGCAGCCCCGCTATTGACTTCGATGGTTCTCGGTGGTTTGATGTTGATGCCCTTTCGAATGCCACAGGAAGCTGGATAGACTCGTATTTTAGTTTTAACATTCCCAAAAGTGACTATGAGTTTCCTAACTCTAGAATTTGGTGGACTGTTGTTGATGCGCCCCGAAACACCACACACACTGTGTTCAGAGTGTGGTTTTGATGGGCTGTTGTTGATGCGCCCCGAAACACCACACTCGCTGTTTTCAGTGTGTTCTTGGTGGACTATTGTTGATGCGCCCCGAAACACCACACACATGGCTAAAAGAATTTCCTTTTTGGAATAAAGTTAAAGAAAGGAGTCATCATCATATTTTTATCATTACACATGGACTGGAAAGCACTATTCTTCTGCTGTCCTCTTGTCTGATTTGGACACAAATTTTTTATGGAAAGGAATTTACTCCTGGATTCATCAAAAATGACATCCCTGGCTGTATACCGAAACACCACACACATGGCTAGAAGAATTTCCTTTTTGGAATCAAGTTAAACAAAGGAGTCATCATCACATCTCTGGCTGTAATTACCTTTCTTTTTTCAATCGACCATAGCCTGTATCCATTGTCACAATATCCTAACATAATACACCACGTGTCGTCTGATTTGGATACGAATTTTTTATGGAAAGGAATTTACTCCTGGTTTCATCAAAGGTAACATTCCTGGTTGTAATAACCTTTCTTCGGGCTGGGGTGTTGGTGATGGTACCACTTATCGTCTGATTTGGATACGAATTTTTTTTATGGAAAGGACTGCAAGGACTTAATACAGCGTGATCAGTTATCGCCTTTCGTGAGCATACCTCGCCACGTTCACGATGATGATAGCAGGGTTCTGTTTGCTCTCTCGGCTACCCCATTCTGTTCTGGGCAGTAAGCCACCGACAGTTGACGGGCTTTTCCTTCCTTTCATGAGGCTCCATCTGTGACTTGGCAGATGTCTGAGTGAATTAAATCTTAATCCCGACGTGGCCTCAATTTCTCTTTTTCTTCTGAGAAGATCAATCCCCTGTCAACACAGGAACCTTTATAAATTTACTCCTGGATTCATCAGAAATAACATCTCTGGCTGTAATTACCTTTCTTTTTTCAATCGACCATAGCCTGTATCCATTGTCACAATATCCTAACATAATACACCACGTGTCGTCTGATTTGGATACGAATTTTTTATGGAAAGGAATTTACTCCTGGTTTCATCAAAGGTAACATTCCTGGTTGTAATAACCTTTCTTCGGGCTGGGGTGTTGGTGATGGTACCACTTATCGTCTGATTTGGATACGAATTTTTTTTATGGAAAGGACTGCAAGGACTTAATACAGCGTGATCAGTTATCGCCTTTCGTGAGCATACCTCGCCACGTTCACGATGATGATAGCAGGGTTCTGTTTGCTCTCTCGGCTACCCCATTCTGTTCTGGGCAGTAAGCCACCGACAGTTGACGGGCTTTTCCTTCCTTTCATGAGGCTCCATCTGTGACTTGGCAGATGTCTGAGTGAATTAAATCTTAATCCCGACGTGGCCTCAATTTCTCTTTTTCTTCTGAGAAGATCAATCCCCTGTCAACACAGGAACCTTTATAAATTTACTCCTGGATTCATCAGAAATAACATCTCTGGCTGTAATTACCTTTCTTTTTTCAATCGACCATAGCCTGTATCCATTGTCACAATATCCTAACATAATACGCCACGTGTCGTCTGATTTGGATTACACTAAGGAACCATTCCTTGCACAGTCCTGGTGGCGCTGGTCACCCAGAGGTGCGTCCTGGGCGAGGAGCTGCCGGAGTCGTTGCTCCGCGGCAAGCCCCCCGGGGGGGAAAGGGGGGGGGGAGGTCGAGGGATACATAGGTAGGTGACTACAAACTGTAATTTTGGAGGTAACAAAATCATTGAAACTTTTGTTCCACTTCATGGGAGCTTGTTTGAGCCCATAAAGAGTCCTCTTAAGTTTACAAACAGCTTTAGCACTTCCTCTTTCATTCGCTAGTCCTTATGGGACTAGCTCAGGCTCAGGGGCGCGGCAGTTGGAAGCCTTCGCCCGTAACACAACGAAACAATCCTGCTTTTAATTTGCTAAAGAAAGATACAAGAAGATAACCTACTGGTGGTTCGAGTCAGATGAAGAGGCTTCACTTGATGGTGGACTGCCATCTGGTTGGCTGGGCGCATTAGGTGCTCCTTGGTCCGTTTCTTCTGTCTCGTACCAGCACCAGTTTGGGGTTGTCTTGTCTGGCGCGGGGCTCGTCTCGACCTCTCACGGCCTCTCACGTTGACTTTACACACCGTGGCGCGTTAGATTTACCAGGATCTTCTGGTAGTGTGTGGATTATCTAGGAACATCATCTTCTCCCGGCATCTTCTTTCTTCTTTTGGACTGCTCGAAAATGCGATTGCCTCCACGAGGCGGGATAGCCTCTCAAGTGCTTTATCGGATACGAGCGGTAGAAGTTTTTCTAGACACTCGATCACGCAAATGATGATTCGACGGCGTCGAGCTGCATCGTGGGGTTTCCCGCGATGACCGCTCTGTGATGCTCGGCAGGCGCTGCGCCCAGAGTGAGCGGAGCAGCGGGTCCCCGACGGTCCTAACTGGTGTTGTTGAACGTCCCACTTCTGATCTTTTAGAGAGTAAAGGGCCCAATAAATTTTCTAAATCATTGAACACTGTTGGAATCATTCTGAAATGTTGTCTGAATTGAACTGAATTTATCCTGGGAATAGTTCTTGCAATATAACCTCTTACTCTTGTAGGTGCAATCCTCTTGCCCCTTAATTTTCGCATAATAGACAACAAATTTCAAAACATGCTTTCTTTCTTGCATCCATTGCAGACGACTTCTAAGTGTAAACAAAACCGTCTCCCCCGAACCGCTCGGAAACTCAGCTATCCCCTCGTCACCCCACGAACACTCTGCCCCCACCACCTCCGTCCCTCGGGTGGAGATCTCGGCGGACGGGGCGCTGGTCGCCCAGGGGTGCGTCCTGATTCCACAACACTGCTGGAACACAGTCAAACGAGATCTGGGTCCCGGTGCGTTCTTGTTTTGCTCCTTCCAAACCCTCCAAGGTCATCACGGTAGGGCAGCAGACATGACGAGCCGAAATGCTACCGCATTTGAGTTTGCGGACAGACCGCGCGAGGTCGAAGTGTCAGAGTGATGATGAAGATGGCCAAACGAATGTGGGGATGGGTGGGTGGCCTACCCTCACGGCGCCATTGTTCCAGAGCCGTTCCAAGTGCAATGAAGGTAGGCCACCCAATCGACACGTCACCGTGCGGTCGTAGGAAATTAGTGACACAAAAGGAAACCGCAGCAAAAAGTCATAGGGTTTAAAATTTAAAAAATTCTTCTTTGACTTTTTAATTCATTCCGAGAGTCCATTATCCGTCGCTCTGCTTCTCGCGCACCTCCGTAGAGTTATCCTTATTTTATTGCTCTTAGACATCATCTTTTAATTATTTTATGTTTTCAGGTGTGACCTTAATAATTTTTTTATTGTTTTCAGACATGACCTGTTAATTCTTTATTCTTTCCAGGGACGGGCGTTTTAACGCGTTGGCGCTCTCAGTTGCGGGAAGCAACCGCGCTGGATTCTTGTACTAGAGTGTATTTTGCCTGTTTTTAATGTTTCTAGCTTGCAGTTGTTACCATCCTCAGCTACACTGAATAAATAAATTATTGAATCTACATTGTATTAATTATTTCATAATACCCAAAATTACCTCTATCAAAAGAAAATTATCAAAGCAAAGATTGACTGCCAGTTTATGACCACACAGAACAAGGAAGAAAGAGAGAAAGGTTAAATAAAAAGTTTAAAAACATAATTTTTTTACAATGCTGTCAGCTTTACGGGTCAAACATGAAGTTTGGAGGTCAATACTTTGCCCCAAATCTAGTAGTCACAGAGGCGAATTTTTAGTAACATTTTGAACAAAGTGATAGAAAATCATGGTTTTTTTTATATAGTTTTGGGCCATGCCATGAAATTCCACCCAATTCGAGTATGTTGAGCTGGGGCACTTCCTCTTGGCTCCTGACACTATTTCGAGGGCCATTTGGGCCCTAAACAGTCGTTTTCAAGCGAAAAACGGGAAGTATTTGAGTCTATGGCCTCTGCACTGCACCTGCGCTGTGGACGGTGGGTTGCCTACCTATGCGGCGCAGGCTCAAATACTCCCAGTTTTTCGCCAGAAAGAGACTGTTTAGAGCCCCAATGGCCCTCGAAATAGTGTCAGGATCCACGAGGGAGTGCCCCAGCACAACATACTCGAACTTGGGTGAATTTGGAGGTTTGGCCCAAAACGGTAAAAAGTTCCGCCAGGCAAGCTTAGCAAAGCGGTCTTGCGATGGACCGAGGAGGCCGGGCAGAGAGGGGGCGGGGGGGGGGGGGGGGGGGGGGGGGGGAGGAGGCTATGAGGAGTGCGGACTGGCGCGGCGTGGCGGGCCAGGTGGATGGATGGATTGGGATGGGACGAGTTGGATTGGATGGAGAGCTAGAAGCGGTAGCAGGACAGCTTAAAAAGAGCCTGTTGTTGTACAGTCTTCCACTGTAGGACTCTAAAACATGGCTAAACAGTAAATTATACAAACAAAGCTCCCAAATTTAGTGAAAATATATAATTGAGAGGCAACAATTTACAAATGTACAGTTGTTTTCATGAAAGGAAACAATGATGAAAATCACAGGAAGTGTAAACATTAGAATCAAATTGCATCTAGAACCCATACTTAGATTGGGTTTGTTTCCGAGTTTGTCGGTTGTTTGCCCATTGATTCTTAAGTTCAAGTTCATTTTCTTTAGCCTGTGGGTCGAAAATTCATGTTGTTTTATTCTTTCCTTAGTGAAAACCATAATAAAAAGGACTGCAGTTTTACTTACCACATGAGCAAGGTAGGTGATTTGATGTTTACGCTTCTGCTGCGAGCTTGGCCCAAAGAGTTTGCTTTTACTGCTTGGCCGTGGCTGTTCCTCTGTAAGCTGTTTAGTTAACCATTCGCGTTGATCAGGCATAATAGAATCACCTGACACATCCAAAATTTGAATTTCCTCTCGATTGCGTCCCTTTCTTCCACACAACTTCTTAAGCTGCGAACAAAACAATAAAGATTACATTCACATTTTAATTACTTTTTTTGAAAAAATAAATGGCTCTAGAAGTCAATGAAACTTACAGCCTCGTCATCCAATGGGAGGTCTTCACCACCATTGAAATTAATGAAGTCCTGGCCAGAATCAGCTTGTGGAATAGCAGCAGTTGATTCTGGTTCAGGATACTGTTGATATTGGTAGTCCGTTAGTTGATGGGATGATGATGGGTCTGGGAAAGCCGGTACTTCCGATACTCCATAACTTTCATATTCAGTGACAGTGGGAAGTAATGGAACCTCAGCTATAGGAATATCTGGTAGCTTATCCTCTTTATTTAATGAGAAGAAGTCGATGCCTTCACCATCCCCATCTGATTCTGGGTCAGAGTCTTGGTGCTTTCGCTTGGCAGACTGAGCAGAGGGTTTAGGTTTCCTCACAGGGGTTGGTGCTGGAGTGGGTTTTCTTGTCAGCACATTAGGAACTAGTGACCGGTTGGCCTGCTTAATTGGTGGTGCTTGCTTGGGCGGCGGTAATAATGCAAATAACCCCGATCCTTTCTGCAATTCACATTTTAGAGACAAGTAATATTTTGTTACCAGTGCAGTCTACAATTCAGAATTACATTGTCTAAGGAAACTGATAACCTCACCTCAGATGGCTGGATTTTCTTTCTAGGCTTGGGCTCATCTTCATCTTCTGGGAACTGAAACAAAAAAATAGGTAAGCTGTTCTATAACACTTGCACCGACAGTTACAAAAAAAAATGAATAAAAGTAAACAAAGTGTGCTCACATCTGACAGTGACGGTATCATTATCTTCACAGTTCCCTTTTTATTTTTACCTCTAGATGCAACTATGGAACTTTCAAGTAGTGACGGAGTAGTGAGCGTTTTAGGGGCAGGTAGCTTCGAACCAAGGCCGAGTGATTCACTAGAGTCTTCATCCTCGATGCCTTCCCTGACAGCAGTCTTTGGGGGTGGCAACTTGGTGTGCAGACCCTGTTTGCTGCCTGAAGGAAGTACGAGTGTTTCATCGGATGAAACAACAGGAACTGGGCCACTTGTCACTTGAACTGTCAGTTGAGGAGATGAGCCCTGCTTCGGAGAGGCAGTAGGTTCTACCTCATTGTCACTCTCATTTTCACTTTCGCCACTGCTTCCATAGGCCACGAGGGACATCATCTGCAGAAAACAAGCAAAATGGTTCAAACCTGTCAACTTTTTTAGGTTAGAAAGTTAATGCACCGTTTATTTTTCTCCTGTAACACCACACCTTGAAAATACGAGAATTACTTAAATTGCTTCAATTAAGTTTTGTAATTCCTTCCAAGAAAATGAGTCAGACAAAGATATATTGTGGAAACAAATCCTTTCAAATAGGTTTTGATTTGATAACACACTAGCAGAACGTTTTGACTCACGATCTTTCTTACTTACCTTTATAGATGGCAGTGAGGTTGTTGCTTTGTTAAAGCTAGGTTAGGCTTGTTTTGTTTGGTACTCAGGTATCTATTTTTACTTGATTTTTCGTGTTTTCTCTGTTGACATTAGCTCAAATTATCGTGTGGAATACTTCTACACTGCGTTTGATTCCGTGTTCTCGTCACAGCCGCTATCTAGAGTTAATTTGTGCTGTGACTTGTCAATCAGGCTTGTTTCTAGTCATCGTCCCCGCTCCCCGGCCCGGATGTTAATAAATTGATTGTTTGCGTTACTTTCTCACTTGTTTTGCTCTCTCTTCCCATAGCTGATGGCTTAAGATGGCCTGCGCTGAATCTCTTGAAAAACTGTCCCTGTTGGATGTATCGGAACCCTCTCTGGTCCAGCCCTTGCTGCAACTGTCGCCTTTGAAAGAAACATCACTTGCCGCTAAAATTGACGATATTCACACCGATTTCGTCATAATCGAATTTTTGTAAGTGTGCTTTGAATTTTAGGTGACCTGGTGTGGGTAGATGTTGATGCCAATGATGCCCGTTGTATGTTTCAGGAACCGCGTTTTCATTGTCATCACACAACGTCAGACTTTCTCGAACCTGCTCTCTGTTACGAAGGATACTCCAAAGACATTTGAGGAAACCTCTGACGAAATTTACACTGTGAAGTAACTTGTTTTCTCTCTAACATATACTATAGTGAACTCAATGGCTTTTTGTTCCTATCGCTTTTCTCTTTATGATTTAGGTCTATATTTGGAGTTGACAGTGACCAAAGTTCACAGCTAGTGGCTCGTTTTCTTTGTGAGCACACTTCTATCAACAAACCAGCACTATTTGCATTAGGCTTGAAGGATCATAGCCCAAGAACTGTCAGAGCGTTACGGGACATAATTAACAAACATAAATCTTGGTGAAGAGCAACATGGCTGCAGTCATTAAAACATCAACCTTTGCTCAACTTGTGATTGGGCCACCTGGAAGTGGGAAAACAACTTATTGTAAGGCGATGAGTACCTTCTTAGAATCCATCGGAAGGAAGGTTGCTATTGTAAACATAGGTAAAATATAATGTCAAAAACATCACACATTTCTGGGGTCAAGAGCACTGTCATGATCAGGTATTTGTTTTTGTTTCTAGATCCAGCCAATGATGACCTTTGCTATAAAGCAGCAATTGATGTCTCAGAACTAATCACTGTTGAAGATGCCATGATACACATGCATTTAGGGCCCAATGGAGGTCTTGTGTATGCCATGGAATATTTATTACAAAATATAAATTGGCTAATGGATAAGCTTAGCAAGTTCAGAGACCACTATATCATTTTTGATTGTCCTGGACAGGTAACTTTTAAGCTACCAGAAAAGAGATGTTCCAGTCTGAGTTGAAATTTCTCTGTAATTATTGTTTAATGTATTTTTAGGTAGAGTTATACACTCACAATGAATCTGTTCGCAATCTAGTTTCCTTCTTGGAGAGCTCAGGATTCAGATTGTGTGCTGTGCACCTTGTAGATTCCCATTATTGCAGTGATCCAGGTAGCTTTCTTAAAATCATGCTACTTATTATCATGAAGTCATCGCCTGTGCTAAATTGTTTCTTTCTTTAGGGAAGTTTATATCCACCATTCTTCTATCCCTTACGGCAATGCTTCACCTAGGACTACCTCATGTCAACTTGCTTTCCAAGATGGATGTGATGCATGAGTACAAGGACCGTCTTTTATTTGGAATTGACTTTTACACTGATGTCCTGGACTTGCAGTATCTACTAGATGCATTAGATGAGGACCCATTTGCCAAGAAGTGAGTTTCATATTACTGCTTATCATGCAAAAATATTTAAGTTCTTCTAACCCACAATTTTACTTTCTTCACAGGTATCGGAAGTTAAATGCTGCCCTTGTTTCTCTAGTTGAGGACTTCAGCCTTGTATCTTTTTTGCCTCTCAATAGTAAGGATCAGAGAAGCTTGCTGAAAGTAAGAAGTGCGGTTGATAAGGCAAGTGGGTGGGTGTATGGTCAGGGAGAGGAGCGGAGTGTTCAGCAAATGTTAGCTTGTGCGGTAGGGGCAGAGACAGAACAAGAGCGAATAGGTGATTTGCGTGACTCACTTATGAATGACGATGACAGCGACAACAACTAAATCGCCTCCAATCCTGTCTTTTCATCTTGGTTTCTTGAGAATAAATAACTACACAGTAACTTATCCTATGTTTACTTTATTCTGCCCCCTGGTTCAGGAGTTAATCAAAGTTAATTATCTCAAGAATAACTATTATATTCTAAAGGAACAGAAAAAAGTTTACTGTAAACATATTTACAGTTAAAATTATTATGACCTTAGACAATTGAACTTTGGTAGAACTGGATAGAGCACGGTGACCGTGAGAAATATCCACAACACAACTCCAAATGCCTCAAATAGTAACAGCTTCAACAACCATGCTTTGGCACTAATTATTTTAAACAATAATTCGTTTCTTTCATGGATTCAATTAAGTACATTTCTGGACAAACTAGATTGGATTTTTCTTTTACATGGCAGTGCTACATAACAAAAATGTGTCAGGGAAAATTATTTGAGAATTGATGAAGATCATAGTACAAAAAACGAAACCACGATCATCATTATTGCTATTACTAATTATCAGTACAATAGGAACACAAATAACAAAGTAAAATTTCATAAAATGGCTGAAAGTTCATTTAAAAATTACTGTGGGACAAATTTGGCATGTGAGAAGCCAAAGCCCACTAGGAAAAATTGTGATCAACTCATTAAAAAGTATCATCAATTATTGTTTTAATTACAATTAAAAAAAGAGGGAAATTGGCTCAGTTTAAGTATCTGGCCTCTAAACGACTTTTAAAATATTATCAGTACCGCAAGCATTAAAATGGCGCTCTGATCAGAATACTGTGTTGAGGACAAGATGTCCTAATCAGTCTCAGATTTATCTTAAATTTACTGATAAAGAATATTCAGGTACAAGATGCTATTGGCATTCTCCATTGTGTATGATTAAGGATGGTCAACAATACTAGAATACACTACTTCAAAACATTACTAAGTCATGACTTAAAAGGCAAGGACATCAATCACAACTAAACAAGAATTCTCAGACAGAAGAATTCTTTAGATCAAAATTAATTTTTTTGATAAAAATCAAAACAAAATTATTTTGGAGTAGCTCTAAAACAAAATAAAATAACACTTGGTTAAATATCAACCATATGAACAGTGACTGGCGCTAATACTTGATGAGATAACATTAAAGATGTTTGTGGTGGACTTTCAGATATTGCATCTGGTGTCGGAGACTGAGATGTAAGACGTGAAATTGAACGCCTCGGCGGAGAACACGCACCTAAAATAAGTGGTTCCGCGGAAGCAAGTGTTTCAGAATCATCATGAGGTGTCATGGTTGAATATCCATGGTCACTGTCTCCCCCAGCAGGTCTTTTATATCCCGTGTTGACCCGATAGGGCGAAATAGGAGCTATTCCGTCTATGTGCAGAATCTGGCTGCTTTGTCCTGTGCCGGGCATAAACATAATGTTAAAACAGAAAATTATAGAAAATTAGCAGCTGGCTCTTAAACCTCACATACCTTGGATAGCACTGTCAAGAATGTCAATATCATCAAGCTCATTGTCCAGCTGAGACATGCGGACTGCAGTATCAGGCCCAGAGCTGAGGTATGCATGTGCTAGTCCATGCGCTTGGGCGCGATGCCGGTGCTGCTTATAACAGTACAGCATTAGGCCGCAGGCAAGAGCCAAGAAAAACGCCAGGGTTCCTCCAGCCACCGGTCCCATGGCTGGGGTGCTGGGTGTCATACCAGATCCTGAAGTTCTCAAATCTAGAAAACAATAAATTTAAATTAACATGAAGCTTGCAGATACATTAATGGCCAGGCACGTTAATTACTTACTCAAAGAGCTTTCTCCATAGGGTGTTCCACCATTTCGCACACCGTTAAAGCATTTGAGGAACTGGGTGCAAAAGGGTACCTCTAAAGGTGTTTCACCGTCACTTCCGATTTGGCACCATTCACACCCAATCACTCCACGACATTCACTAAGGAATATGTTAAAGTTTTAAAATCATGTAATCTAATTCATGATTTGAATCTTTGTTTTTTTAAACAAACAAAACCAACCTGTGTGACTGGAATGATTCACAATTGACATTTACTGATGGACAAATGGGAAGACTTCTGACTGAATCCGGCACATAAATAGCGGGACGTTGAACTTCAGGAAAATTGGAGCAGCTTGGATTGCTGGCCTCTGCTGCTTGCAAGTCTCCCGTGCAGTAATTTATGCCAAGAGGGCATTCACACGGACACTCACATTCTGTCTGCTCCACTCGGGCACAGTTCAGGCAGTTTCTGTCCTCCTACAGATAGGAATAAGGAAAATGTGAAAAACACAAGCTTGCCAGCAACATTTAAAATTGAAATAGTAAATAAGACAACATACCGTACTACAGGGACAGAAGGCTGTTGTCACATCACAGGTTTGGTTGACAACACCCAGAAACACATTAGTTCCCTTCAGAGCAATGACCTGGTACTGAACACAGTGCTCTCCGTGAACCAAATTTGTAAGGATGCCAGTGACGCTGGTATTAAACTGATAAAAGCGCTGCATAGTGCGGTCTGAAAAGTTGTTGCAAACCCTTTTGGTCACAAAGCCTCTATGGCTCAGTATGTCATGGGCTAGTAGGGACTCTTTGTGCGTAATGTGCTGCTGCTCCAGGGGCTGGCGGCCGCTGGTTTCAGTCAAACTTGGATGGGCTATCAAATAGCCCTTGTCATCCATGAGGAAACACTTGATGTTTTTCTCTTCACAAAATGGCATTGTGTCCAGTAGGAGCTTGTACAAGAAGCCCATACTGAAGTCGACGCCAACCACAGCCACGACCGCGTCCGTGTCACTGTGCATTGCCGAGGGGCGACCCTCGTGAATGGTGTGGCTCAGGGTCACGATGTATCCCGAGCCGCCGACGTCCAGATAGGGGGCGGTCAACACCACGCGCCCGGGGAACTCCAGAGCACGATTGTACCAATGGCGACGGGTGGGATCGAAGGTATCTTCTGTCGGCGAGCTGGGGAAGGACACCAGGACTCCACTTGGAGTAGCAACATACCTGGAAAAGAAACAAACAAAAACAAAGGATATTACTTACAAACAATTGCTATGACCCAAGAGAATATTCAAAAGCATTCACATACCGACGAACTGTGTACTTTCTCAATTTTCCTCTGAGCTGTTGCTGCTTCCAATGCTGCACAATACCAGACACAGCAGCTACGTCATCTCTCACACCGGGTCTTAGGCCTGGGTTAGCCAAAACTCTTGTACGGTCATGTAGATAAGCCATATAACTCTGAATCGCCAAGGGAGACTGGGCATCCTGCCCATCTAAAAAGTTGAAAGGTGACTGGAAGCATGATGCTGAGAGGAAAACAGATCCTACATCTGGAAGTTATAAGAAAAAACAGAAGATTAAGGAGAAAATAAATAAAAGGAAATATAAAAGAAATTCAAGCAGCTGATTTGAGTTGTTAAAAAAGATAAACAAATCCCAATCATTTGCATTAGCATACATACCAAACGAAGCAGGAAGTCTTAAATAGCGACAATATGAGTACTTGTCTTGCATCTGAGATTGATGGTACTCAATATTCATATCATGATGCAGTGGCACTGGTTCGAGACTTAACGGCTGGTGGCCAGGTTCTTGTATAACAGACACCACAACTGCTATATAGGGCCCAGCTTTAAGGTGTTTCCAGGTGTACGATACCTAAAGACACAAAATTATCATAAAACAATGTAATAGACAAAGATCGATATTGTTACGATTAAAAATTGTACTAACAGCTCTAGTAGAAGGTTTCCCCAAAGTGGAATGTTGGAAAGTTAAAATTGTACTTCCAGCACTATCACGTATCATGTGCTCTCGCACCTCATCGAATCCTGGCTTATTTTCAAGGTATTTTATGTCTGTTGCCATAGGTTGCTCATAAGCAAAGGTTGGCCTTGACAATGAAGGATGCATCAGGGTGTAGCCTAGAAATGACAGAGCAGAAAAATTTAAAACCTTGAGAAACCAAAGCAAACCAAAGCAAATCACACTTGCCATACCTTCTTTGTTGATGAAGAACGCATAGGAATTTCCATAGGTGTTAAAATAAGTGACATTTTCAACAATTTCACTCACAGACAAATCTATGCCGACAACACCAACTATGTGACCTGATGCCTCACAAGGCTGGGCAACACTTAGAACCATCGCTGAGGAAGCAAAACACAGATTATGAACAAACAGATGTTTTAGGACCAACAAAAAACAAATTAACTTACATTTGCTGACAGAATCAAAATCAGGTAAAAAGAACAATGGGGAGGCTTTATGGCCGGAAACTGGTAAGCCAGAGAAAAGCTGTCCGACTATTGGGCCAAGATTTGATGATGTGTTAGCAGATATTAATACTCCGGGAGTTACTTTTCTGGCTTCTGGGATTGAAATATTATACTTGCTAAAATTTTGCTTTGCAACGTCTTGCAGGAAATGTTTTTCATACATCAATGGCTTCCCATCTGAAAAAAAAAATGTCAGTGGATATTATGACTTGAGACGAACAGTGTGCAGATTTATTGTTGACTGGATGAATGGGGTACTCACCATCAATTAATGCACACGTGTTAATGACTATGTCATGGGGTGTAGCTTCTCTTCCTTGAGCTATTGTCTGCAGGACTGTCTTGGCATCAGTCAAAGAGGATAAAAGGCCCCTACTCAGATACACTACCAAAATAGGAGCAGTAACATTTGAAGGTACCGAGTTGGATATGATTTCAAAGACATTCTGAAATCCGAGTGAATGGTTTGTTGCTCCCAGAGACTTGGATAATCCTTCAATATACTTCAGAAAGTGATATTTTGTCTCATGAGTTGCCAGAGGCAACGAGTGCTGAGAGCAGCCATTGTCCATTGGGAGCAGTGCCTCCTCTGCCACACCTATCAATCCAACATGATCGTGGTGCGACAAAGTTTCAATCATGCTGCGAGCTAGGATCTTTGCCAATTCTAATTGTGTGACGCTTACAGATCGACCATAATCTATCATGATAATGACTCTCTTGGTGTCTGAAGAGGTTGTAGCCAAGAAAATACTCCTGTTAAAAAAATTAAGAAGAGGATTGTCATTAAGTTTTGCAGATGTAGTAGGAAACAGCCCAATTGAGAAAAATTTACCCACCTCAAACGGGTTTCATCAAAAGTATTACAAGGCATGTCTTGTAGCAGATGATCACCACTGGTTGAGAACCCAGTTCCTGCCATTAGATATTGAAGTTTCATAGATGGTGCCGATCTTGTATTCTGAACAAACACTGCAACACAAAAAGACAGATATGGCAAGTTAAAGACAGAAAGCAAGGATCAAACCTTAGAAGAGTCTCATTGCAAACTCACCACTAGTGAGGTTGAATCCATGCCGAGGCCCAGGATGACCCAGCCTCCTTAAGGGCCGAGCATACCTTACATCATAATACTCGTCTCGAACTGAATTGATAAAACAGGGATGAGCAGCTGACGGTAACTGGGTAGGACCCATAACTCGTTCATGAATGGCATTCTCAACAGCACTCCTAGTTTTTAAGAGTACATTCAAGTATTCTTGCAGTTTCTTGTCTATACTTGAGGCAATGGTATCCACCCTTCTCTCGTCAGTACTTCGAGACAGACCAAATGGTAAATTATCATAGATCTCTTGCAACGCGGGAATACCAAGTTCTTTGTTGGAAACATCTCGTAGACATTGTGCTAAACTGGGGGCTACATCTTCTAGCAGCAGGCCATCAATAGAACTTGGTGTCACTTCTTCTTTCACTCGGTCAACATTTGAATCAGCATTTGCAACGGGATCAACCTCAGCATTTAAATTAAACTTAGGGCTTGGGTATGGAAAAAGGTTCGTGCCATTACTCAACACAAGACCGTAAGAACCATACGACAACTCCACAACACACAGCAAGATGGTACATGTTACCACCAACTCTTTTCTCCTTACAATGGAGGTTAAGGAAGCCCGATCGACCATAGCTGCTGGAGTTGTACCAAAAAATTTCTAATACTTCTACTCGTTGTATCGTTTCATTGACGTGGATGAGACATTTTCGTAGTAGAAACGGTTCTGACAAACTGTAGCAAATGGTAGATAAACAAAGTTCCAAATTGTTTTGTAAACAAATCACAGCATGCAGCATCCACGGTCCAAGTCCACATTGAAATCGGACCTATTTCTTCTCATTCACATTCGGCTTTCGTAGCAGCCGACAGAAGAGACAGAGGAGGTCGACACGAGGCTACACGAGGTATGAGAAACTGTGAGCAACAACGATCCCAACTATGAGAAACTTGCTTCAACGCCTGTGGACTGCAGGGTAGGCCACCACGCGCGACGAGTCAACGGGGAGGCTGCCTACCCGCGCTTGTTCGGGCGCTCGTCGGGCTCTCGGCGGTCGGAGCGCGGAGACCTGTGCTTTCTCAACTTTGCAGACTGTGTGGCACTCAAAATCAGACTCCAGTTCCAGTTCACGAGGGAGGAGCGCGTATTGCGCGTGGCTGCTGGACGGACCCTCCCACGAAATTCGAGTTTCGCTTTTTTCACGCCGCCCCGCGCCCCGCATTCCCAAATAACTCTTTTTCGGCTGGCCGGCCCTCGCAACAAGTATTTGAATTGGCAACCGTCGAGATTTGGCCGTTGGTCGGCCGGGCCTGCGGCACCCTGCCCTGCCTCTCTCTCTCTCTCTCTCTCTCTCTCTCTCTCTCTCTCTCTCTCTCTCTCTCTCTCTCTCTCTCTCTCTCTCTCTCTCTCTCTCTCTCTCTCTCTCTCTCTCCCTCTCTCTCTCTCGGTCTGCGGCCGAGTGCGTGAGTGCGAGTGAGAGCGGGAGAACGGGTACCGCGCAGCGAGCAGCGATTGGATTGGCCAGATTTGAACGGCGAGTGGTCGCCGGGCGCGGGTAGGCGCGGGCAGCGCAGGGCGCTAAAGGCTTCGCCGTGCTTCGCCGAGCTTCGCCGCTCCTCGCCGCTCACCCAATGGCGACGGAGAGCGGGGGCGCGGCAGCGCGGCGCCCCCTCCACAGCCTCCACAGCCTCCACCGGGGCCGACCAGGGCCAACCCGGGCTACTTATCAACTTTATAGCCTTGTTGGCGACCAGGGGCTCCGGTCTCCAAGGGCTCCAGGGTCCGCCCTGTGGATGCCCTTGGCGTGCTGGCCGCTGGGCCTGTGGCGCGGCCTGCGTTTAGGCCCTGGTCCTGGCCGAGGCCGTGATCTAGGAGTCCGCGGCCGGGGGGTCGGGGGTCGACCTCGGCGTCGGCCTCGCGGTGACGTGGCCATGGTTTCCCCGCGAGATCCTAGACGAGTCCTGTAGACGAGGGAGGCAGTTGCCACAGCGCGCCGAGCACGCCAGGGCAGCCACGGCCAGGAAACCCGGTCGGCGACGCGGGTCCACATTCGCTACTCGCTGGGACCTAGGTCAACTCCAGCAGGCGCTCAGCTGGAGTCTAGGAACGGGAGGGGGGAGTCACGCAATGCCTGGAACATGGGGCACTATTCGACGAAGGAACGCCCCGTCCGTCTCCTTGGGCGACTGGGCGACGTCCCTGGGAGGGTCGTCGGGGTGCCAGCGAGTGCCCTGGCCACCCTGGACGCCGTACGCCCTGGCCGGGCCATGGCCGGGCCGGGGTTCGCGCCGTGGACGCGCTGATCACCATTTTCGAATCATCCTGTGAACGGGTACCGGCAGTACCGGCAGTACCGGGCGCACGGGTACCAGGCGGCCCCGAGCCTTGAGCCCCGAGCCAGCCTCTGTTGGTCCAGGCCCGTCCAGGCCCGTCCAGGCCCGTCCAGGCCGCCACTTGAGACCGGTTATGTTAATACCGAGTGGGGGGCTGCCTGCCTGGCTGGCTGGCTGGCTGGCTGGCCGGCCGGCTTGGGTGAGCCGTCCCGCCCAACCCGTCCCCTCTGCAGCTGCCGGGTACTAAGCCTGTACCCGCCGACAGGCCCGGCCCATGGGCCGGCCGGCCGGCCGTCGAGGAGGGACCCGGAGGGGCACAGCGGGGCGCAGGGGGGCGGGGAAGCGCGCCTCCAGCCAGCCTCCAGCTCGAAGAGCTCGAACCCCATCGGCTGGCTGGCGGCGTGGCGTGGCGGCGTGGCGGCCCGGGGATTCAGAGGCGTCGAAAATGCGGTCCAGCTCCAGCAGACTGATTCCGAGAGTCGTCTTCGTCGCTCTGTCTCTCTCGCACCTATACGGGACGCCCCATGAGTGCGAGAGAGAGACAGAGCGACGAGAACGACTCTCTGGCCGAGCGGAGCAGCGCGGACAGGACAGGAAAGGAAAGCAGCCGGACAGAGGATTAGACAAAGAGGGACACACGACTTTCTCCTCGTCCTCGTCACAACCGATCTAAATTTGGAACGGGCTCCGAAATTCCAATTTCGAAAAGCGGCCCCGGGGCGCGAGACGGCGCGAGCACGGCGCGGCGCAGAGAGCACTGCTTCCGAGTCCGAGGGGTCGTCGCGCTGTCTCTGTTGCACTCGCGGGGCGTCCTGGAGTACGGAGGGGTGCGAGAGAGACAGACGGACTACGCGGTGCGCGGCCTGTGCGGCGTGCGCGGTACGCGGGGCGGTACGCAGGGAGTGCGGGCGACTTCGGGCGACGACCCTCTACGTGGGCGCCAACGCGAAGCAGCGACGTATGGAAGCACGGCGTGTGGAAGCACGGCGTCGACCCACGGCCGCGGCAGCAGACTCATTCCCAGAGTCGTCTTCGTCGCTCTGTCTCTCTCGCACTCAGGGGGCGTTACCTATAGGTGCGAGAGAGACAGAGCGACGAAGACGAACCTCAGTCTGCTGGGAGGACGCGCAACGCCGCAATCTCGCATCGCGAACCTTGTCATGTCGGACGCGGGACGCTTTTCCGCAAAAACGCAACACAGAACCACAGAACGAGGGATCGGTTTTCTGTTTTTCTCGTTCCTGGTCGTCGTCCTCCTCCAGAGAGAAGCTCTGCCGGTCTCGCCGGTGGTCCTGTCCTCCGAGTCCTCCGCCACCGAAAGAGAAAATAGAAACGCCCGCGACGGCGTCCCTGGCGGCGCCGAACCAGTCTGGTGAACCGGAAATCAAAAACCCGGGTTGGACATCATTTTTTGCCAGAGTGGCGTCTGGTGGGTCTCGAACCGCGCTCCTCGGGTCTCGCGCCCCAGTCACGTGCCGTTACGTCACGTAAGTGCCCCGACGTGAGGACCTTGCCCAAGAAGGAGGCGGCGGGACGAGGCCGCGAAGCAACGCGAAGCAACGCGAAGCAACGCGAAGCAACGCGAAGCAACGCGCCATGGCAGCCCTACGAACAATTGCGCGTTCCAGTGGACCAGCCTGGCCAGCCTAGCGATTCAGAAGAGTCGTTTCGTCTCTCTGTCGCACTCATGGCGCTCCCCATAAGGGCGCGAGAGAGACAGAACGACGTAGCGCTCTCCCGAATCGCTCGACAGGAGTAACGCCCAGGGTTGGCAGCTCTGAGCTGCGAGCCGGTGAGTTCAGTCCCGCGCAGGGGTTGGCATCGTATCTTGATCAACCCCAGGAGGAGGCCAGGAGCTTTGCAGCGCTCACTGGGCGCCCGCCAAAAATCCGCCAAAAAGGCGCAAAAATCCCGCCAAAAAAAGCGCCAGAACTCGGCCAAAAAAGACGCCAGCACTCCACGAAAAAAGGGCGCCAGAATCCGCCAAAAAAGGCGCCAAAATCGCGTAAAGACGCGAGTACCTCGTGACGGCCTAAGGGCGCTGGCCCCATGGGGAAGCCCCTCGAGTTCGCAGACCAAGTCCTGGAAACCGAGGTGAAGGGACGCGACGCGAGCCCCAGTCAATTTCCGATAGGCCGTCAAAGCCTCCAAGTTCCACGAATCGGCGCCGGCGCTTTGAGAAATGGGAAATCGGTACGGCCGGCGCGGTCCGGCCGCGCCACGCCCGCCGGAAATGCCGCGGCGATGCGTGGTGGACGAGACGGGACGAGACGAGCGGACAGCCATAACCTCACTTTTCTCTCTGCGGCGCGCGGGATAAGCGCGGGAAGCGCTGGAAGCATTCCTTCGCGGCGTCGCTTCGCTTGCTTCACTTTCTTCCTGCCCCAGGGGCCTCCGGCATGCCTCCGGAGGAGAGTCCGTTGACCGTGAGCGTGTTCGCCCCCGCAGTCTGAGCTTGGCAGCGTCTGGCACAGTCGCCAGACACCCGAGCCCACTCAATCGACTCAATCGTTGCGCTGTCAGGAAGACAGCGCTGGGCAGCAGCCGTTGCCGAAAAAAATTCGCGCGATAGGTGTGGAAAGGGTTAGGTTAGGTTAGGTGGCTTCATGGCAACTTATCCAGAGGTTAGGTTTGCGCCGCCGCTGCAACTGTGGCCAATGGGCATCGCGGCTTGCTGCTGCGCTGCCACGCCATTGGCGGCCCGGCACCGGCACGCTGGCATGGCAGCATGTTGGGTCCACGTTGGCCCGACTCCAAGTCGCCGGCACCCCAAGGTCACCCAAAGGGCGTCCGTCCCGGTCCGTCCACGCCAGTCCACGCCGTGGCGGCCGTGGCGCGCCGTCCATGACATGGACTCCATGTCGGCCGTCTGCCGGTCCACACATCGCTCCCAAGACACTACTCGAGCAGCGGCTCCAAAGTGCCTGCTGTTTCGGATCGGAATTCGGTGGCGAGATTCGGATTCTCCAGGCCGGGCAGAGCTCGTTTTCGTCGTTCTCGCCGCTCTGTCCCTGTCGCACTCATGGGCCGCGTGGTGCGAGAGGGGCAGAGCGACGAGAGGGAATCACTCAGCATGCCGCGTTAAGCCCTTGTAGTATCGGACGCCCTGCCCGGACGAGTAGAGCGTCCTCGACGTCCACGCCGCATTCTCCGGGATGCTAAACCAGTTCCGTCCTCCTCCGACGCCTCGGAACGCCTTGGAACGCCACGGAACGCGAAGACGACGTGGCCGATGCAGCCACGCAGCTCGCACGACGCACCACACTGCTCTTACTGGTGACAAGAGCTTTCTCGCCAGTCATCAGGGAGGCACTAGCGAGGCCGGATACTGGCCGGGCACTGCCGGGTCCTTGGGATGCCTCCAGATACACTGCCACAAAACCGTTCCCGTTCGCCTCACGCTTTTGCCTTCCAGTGCAGTGCCCCGACTGCCCCGGCAGTGCTCGCCCTCGCCCGCTCGATACGTGTATCAGATTGACGCGTGCGTCCCGAGTGGGTACCAGCGGTACCGTTGG